CTGTTGTAGGCAGGGACAACACTTCTGTTTTGGTCTGGCTCCAAGCATTTTCAAATTTCAGCATTTAGGATAAATGATATAACTGCTTGCACCTGTGAACTTAGTGCTCAGTGAAAATGAGTTAGAATATTTCTATTAAATAATTATAAGAGGAGAGCAAGAAATTATTAATTCACTTGAATGTTTCAGCTCATTATTTAAGAAATATGTTGTCGAATTTCTTTGAATGTGAACCAAAAGTTATAGTCATAAATACTGCCTCTCATGCTCATGAAGTCTGATAGCTGATTTCTTCTGTAATTAACAGAAAATACAGACAAGTGATGTTGGCAATGACTTTCGTGTGAATTCTGTGCATGTCTGGTTAGAGGAAAAAATTAAATAGTTAAGAGAAGACATTGGATTCCTGGGGAAGCTAGGCTACGCTTGATCTGCATCTAGTTAAAACCCATTTTGGTGAATAAATCTGGACAGATTTATTAGCAATTAGCTTTATTTCTTTGCATTTATACAGCTATTGACTACATTTTATGTAGTTGATAGGAGTTTAGAGTGCTGTCATCTTGTTATGTTGTAAACTCTGGAGAGCCACGGTATTGATCTCAGTCAGTTTTATTTCTTATGTATATCATTGCAAGTATTTTAATTGAAGCTTCAAAATAATTTCCACAAATTGGCAGTTGAACTTATACATGAACAAAATAGATTTGTGATCAAGCACTGAAAATGCTTGAAATCTAAACCAGCTTCTATTGCTGGAAAATAATTGCTAGATAGATAGTAAGGATCCAGACTACTTGATAGAAGATTGTGGAAATATTATTTTTAAATAAATAGTTTGAAGCTGAATGAACAAAAATGAAGCCTCAAATGATGACATAGTGCGGATAAACTATTGAGCAGTTACTGCTGTTATTATTTATCATAGACCAGTTACATAGGAATTTATAAAAGGAAATTTGTTTGCAAGTATTTTTTGATGATTATAGAAGAAGGAAAAGAGATGATGTGTTTAGGAAAGAACAAATAGCAGCGGTGGTAATAAAACTAATAATCAGTGATCCGGAGCAAGGGCATACAATGGAAAATGCTTGATTTTATTGTTAGTGAAATAAAGTAATAGCAGTAATTTCCTATCTTTTGTACCTTTGTAGAAGAAACTCACTTAAGAAATGCTACTTCTGCTGCTCCTGATGTGAAAATATGCTATCTTGTCCTGAAAGTAAAAATTTTTAAGCCCAGCATATCTTTTCTAGCAGTGACCAAAAGCAGGTGCTTGAAGGAGCATAAAATCAGAGTAAGCATGTGTGGTGCTTCCCCTGGCTGCCATCCCACCTTCCAGCCAGCCAGTGATGTTTATTTATTTTCCACAGTTTTAGGTAGGCACTACATAAATCCTACAGAGTATTTTTTTGGCATCCACAGCTGCCCATTGTAGGGAGTTTGGGGCATCCAGAGATAGTTGTGATTGGTCAGGAAAGCTTGGCACAAACAGTAAGGGTGAGGGAAGGTAAGAAAGATGAGAAGGGGGAAGTTGTGGGATGATGTGACAGTGGCTGAAATGCTTTGACATTGCCTTTGAGGAGTGCACTGGCTTGGGGTGCCCCCCAAGAGGGGGCAAGCAGTGCAGTGGGAGAAGGAATCCAGGCTTAACTCTTCTGGTGTTTATATATTTATATTTATATTTTATATTTATCTATGTGTGTATACACATGTATATATGTGTGTACATACATCTGTATCTCTCAGTATGTGGTCATAAGAGAGGCCAGCAAAAATTGTCTGGTGTGCAAGGCAGGAGATGAGGAGTGTTTGGATGAGAGGGCTTTTCTTTCTTTGTAGACAGAAGTCCAATCTCAATAAATTTTAAAAATATAGAGGCAGATATGACAAAACACATCCATAGCTAAAATTGCAGTAAAGCTGATAGTATGGCCATGTCGGTTTTTATCTTTTTAACTTGCGTTTGCTGAGTGGGTAAGTCTCAAATTGTTCTCTTTTCTTTTTTACTAAGCAACAAATTTTACCAGGCCCTTTTAACAATTAGTGATAATCCTGTGGACAGGGCTGTATGCAGGTGTTTTGCCTAATTCAGGATTATTGTGCCTTTAGCTGGTCTTGCAGCTTCCACTTTATCTCCTGATGTTTTACTGGATGAAATACAGCAAGTGTTCTATTTTAAAAAGGGAAAAAATTGTTCTGTACATGAATTTCTAATTGAGTGCCAACCAAAACAAGATAAATGAAACAGACTTGTTAAATGAAGAATTAATGGACTGAGCATGATCTGTGTCTGAGAAACTTGAAAGAAAGTCCATGGAGTTTATTATTTTTTTCCTCGTGTTTGTTTGCCCAGGCTGGGTATGTGCTTGCACAGTTTGAGTTCATTAATGGGTCAGCTGTGGGCAGTTTTTCCTAACAGAACAGCCATATATGCTATTTGCTAGGTCTGATGCTCAGTAAAAAGTATGGAAAATAACACTGAATGTTACCTTCTGTTTCTTGCACATAACTTATAATTATGCAGTTACTTTTGGCAAATACAAAATGTCAGAGAAGCAGGGAGCATCACCATTCATTTCAAATGGAAATGATGTATACTTTGAGGAGCCTTGTTTTTTGGTGATTTGCTTGGCACTTTTGCCACATGTCAGTAAGATCAGCCAAAATAACGTCAATAAAACCAGGGCACATTAATGCAGAGACAATTAAGGGTGGAATTATGTTGTATAATTGCATTATCACATCTGTAACTGCTGAAGACCAGGTAGGGTCACATTAAAACACCTTAAATGGTCCTGCTGCTCTTATCAGCTGTTTTACTGTGACCCTTCATGTAAGCTAAGCACCTGCCTCTCTCCTTTTAATGATGTTTACATCAATCCTGGAGCAGCCTTTCCGAGTCAGATTTTCATCCTCCCTGTAAACTGGGCTTTTACAGTAGCTGCCCTACTTCCCTGCCCGATTTGCATGTGCACTTTCCCACTTGTAACTATTTATATCTGAGACATTTGCCAAGTGTTGGAGGCTCAGGTTGTGTTATCAATGTGAGTCTACCTCAGGTCCTTGGATTTGTTTCTGGCTCACTCCTTCATGCAATTCCAGACTTAGGATTTAAGAAGTACTTTTCTTCTAATGTGTCAATCCATCATAATCATGGTGGAGACCTGGGTGTCTTTCTGCTTGAGTTAGAGTTCCACCTCTGCAAGGGGTAGGATTATCACATTTTAGAGGCAGGCCAAGTGCTTAGGTTCAGGCCAGTTTTCACCTTCATTCTGCAGTGCAGATCCAAGCCTTGTTTTAATTCTGAGAGGGTTTCTTGTTTTTCCAAGACTAGAGACATGGTTTCAGAAGAGGAGCCATTAAGGCTTCTTTTTTAACCTTTGCTCCCTGTTCTGAATTTCAGCAACCTCTTTTGAGGTAAATGGTCATAGTTTGGCAGGACTTGTCAGCAGTTGGATGCACTGGCTTATTAAAGAGAGTACAAGGAATAGTTCACCTCAGTCAGAGGCTGAATAGGTCAAGAAGAGATAACACGGAATTATTAATAAGAAGTGGAAAAATAGCCAGGGGAAAATGCAGGGGCATAAGGTGCAATGTCATTTGTCAGGAAGATAGGAGGAATGAAGAAGCAGCTACCTTTTCCCTTCTTCCCAGCCCAACTTTAAGTTGGCAAGGGCATCTTCTGGCTGTTGCTTCAAGTTCAATTTTAGTCTATAACATCTTCTGCAGTAGGTGCAGAGGTGTGACTCCTGTCTTCTTCTGGATTGTGCTAATTGATTCTGAGTTTATTCAGTTATATGGGTTGTGTTGGTCATTTAGGCAGTGAATAGGAATATGGTCCACATCCTTTCCTTACTCCACAATGTAAATTTTTGTGCCTTGACCACATGGTAGATATGGATGAATGGAATTACCAACATGACTGGACTGAATAAGGTGATTAACATGAAAATTGGAAATTAAAATAAGAAGTGCTGTCAAAATAACATTCAAAATCAGCTGGTAATGTATGAAATAGTTTTTTAGTTTTACAGATGATAAGATTGATGTTTCTACAGTGGGGTTTTTGGGTACTGTGGTTTGTGCATGGCATATCTAATTTTGGATGCTTCAGAGGATCCTGGTTTTGAGTGTTGGCTGCTCATCCTGCAGTGACTGGTCTCACATTGTCCCTCAAGCTAAGCACTTGCAGCAAGAATTCTCCTAAAGTAGACCAAAAGTCTCTTTTGTCACAGCTTACTTCCAATTCTTAGTCTGCATCCCACCTTCTTTTGCCCATCCAGGTGGTGTGGGGCACGCAAAAGGGTGTGGAATGCAGTGAGATCCCAGGACATCCCACATGGATGGCTTGTGTGAACACAGCAGTCAAGTGTGGAGGTACCATAGAGGGTTTCAGCTGTTTGACTTCAGAACTTGCTCTTCCAGTCTGCTGGTGGGGCATAGGGTACCAGTCTGCTGATGGGGCATATGGTTCCAGCCTTTAACTTCTAAACTTGCTCTTTCAGTCTATTTAGGTGTGTCACTGACCCTGCATCTCCTGCAGAGTCACAGCAGGGAGCGAGGTAACTGGTTTTGGCCTCTGGAACACCAGTTAGGCCACTCTCTAAAATGCTTGGTCCCAGTCTCTGCTGAGCAGACAGTGCCCCTTCAACTGAGCAGCTCCATCTCATCATCTCCCCCCCCTTCGAGTGTGTTTAACATTCACCTGTGATGCAGGCAGAGGATAAAGCTCTGATCTTCATTTTGAAAAAGAGAACGTTTCTCTAGCAACTGCTCACCATATGCCCTAATTTATCTTCAAGATTAGGGGTGGGCCCCCCTCTCACCCCAAAGCACAAGGGCATTGGTGGAGGGGAAAGTTTTTAGTTAATTAGGATTTTCATATTATTCCTGTCTCAGTAGCTCTTTCCAGAACCTAAATGGTTAAAGTAGAAAATGTTAGTAATTTTGCTGCAAATAAATTGATCAGTATGCAAGACGGTTGTCACCGGCTGAATCATGGTCCACAGTTAAGGTAAACAGATCTGTGATGACATTTTCTGAGCAGAATACCAATGCTGCTACATTTCTTCCCAGAGGTTTCTGACTCTTCTTATATGCGGATAAAATTCCTCTCCAAGAAGGTTTTGTTCACAGGAAAGAAATAGCATCTTTGTAAGAGTCTTCCTGAAAGGTGGGATTTCTTGTGTTTTGTGATTTATTTGTAATCGTAATTCTGTCGAGAGCATGGCAAGGAATGTTTTTGCTTTTCTGCATATCCTCTCTGTACAGTAGATGTTTTTGATGTGGAGTCTATTTAAAGTGTCTGGCAATGGAATGCAAGTAAAACAGTATTAACAGAGTTATCAGGAACAATGAAAACGGGGTTTCTTTTTTATATTCTTTGAGAGCGAGCTCTGTTTTATAATCTCTGTAGTTAATACATAAAAGCAATGACTAAATATACAGCTAGATTTTTAGCATTAGTGTTTCTGTGAAATATTTTTGACTACATGATGGCTTCGTATTTTTGTTGGCATATTCTAAAGTAAGAGCTATGATATAGTTTATTCTTAAATGTCTCTGTGCTAGGCAGAAAATCCCCCTTGCAATTGACTGCAATCAAAACCATTTAGCTGAGATGCATCTAACTCCCGTATGACTTCAGGGTGATGAAAAATACAGTTTCTAAAGAAGTTTTTGAAATCTGCTTTCTGAGAATATTTAAAAGAACATTTTGAAATCACTGTGTATGATGCTGTTGATGGGATTGGGAGCATTCATAATTCTGTGTTTAGCCTTAGATCCACATTTACTTGGAGTGATTGACATCTCAGCCATTCTGTGGATTAGTGGCTGGAAATCTGTCACATTTGTATTGATAAAAGTAGAATTTCCTCTCATTTAGTCAGGTGTTTGTACCTGACTTTAGTTGTGTTTTTTACAGTAGATGCTGAAGGATAAAGGAGCCCTGTGGAGAGCATGCTCAGTGGTCTCTGGCACGGAATAGCAAACCTGGAGCTGGTCCTCGCAGCTAATGTCAGGGATTCAAAGTCTCTGGGAGTCAGCAGAACCATTTCTCCAGGAGACTTTGGGTTTAAACCTGGCCCTGTCCATGTCTGCTGTGTTTAGGCAAGGGAGTATAGCTGAAAATTGTGTAATTAACAGGACCTTTTGTAGGATACACTTAGGAAGTCTTGTCATGCACAGCATTTCGAAGCTGCCCAGCAGGATGCATGGCTGTGGCTTGTGGAGAGGAGCAGAGCAGGAGCACCATCTCCAGAGCTGTGTGATGCTCTTTGTGAGGGCACCTGGCCAAGAGCTGCCCTGCCCTGGGGGACACCTCAGCAAGTCACAAATCTGTGTCAGAGAAAGACAGATCTGCATTTCAGGCAGTGGATCTGGGGTGGGGCTCAAGATTTAAAGTTTGGGCTTGAGAGCTGTGGTTTAATAATTCCCTAGCAAAAAAGAGAAGTCCAGTTCATCCTGACATGCTGCACTTTTCAGTAATTCTTGCTCTGATTGAGGTTCTCATGCACTTTCATGGTATCCTTGTGCAGCATTTATCTTGCTCTTTGTGCTTTGCTTTGTGAAGTGCACAGCGACTAGTTCTTTTGCAGATCTATGTAACAGCTTGAGACAAACATGGATTTTTGGGGGAATAAATGGGTATTTTGGGGGAATAAATACTGGTATTTTATCCCAGTATTTTAATGTGCATTTGCAGGTTATCTTTTATTTCAGAAACATCCGTGAATATTTTGGGGTCGACCTAAATGTGGCATTGAAGTAAAGTGTAATGCCCAAACTTTGAATGTCCAGCAGTGGAATTAAGTCTGGACAGAAATGGAGGGACTAATTCTGCTTTTACATCGTTCCCGGATTAATGTGGCTCCTCAGGGGTCCCCAGGAGGAACATAAATATTAGTGGCAGGATCTGGCCTGCTCCCAGACATGACAGTGATAAGACAAGAGCTGTTAAGTGTTGTCCAGCTGGAGGAATGTTCACTAAAGATTGCCAGTGTTGTGCTGGGTTTTGTTCTAATAACATTTCTGTGTTCTTTGGTAGATCTCTATGAACTCTCTAACCTCCAAATGAAATACTGTGTGCATTTTTTCAGCAAAAAAATTATTTCTATTTGACACTAAGAAACACCTTTTAAAGATTATAAAGCAATTTGTTCAGAACTCTGCCTCGATGGTTACAGATGATTTTATGAATGTTCAGCTTGACCTTGTTTCACTTCCTGAGAATTATGTTTGTGCTTTAATTTTGGGTAGAGTAAGCAACACTTGTCTTATTTCCATTGGCAGAAGGGAAGTCGACTCTTTGAAAATTCAATCTCAGAAAGAGAACACCTTGTTTCCCAGCACTTGTTACTGATGAAACACTTCTGTGAGCATCAGTGATAGTGTGTATCTGGACATGGGTTTAGATAAGCTTGAAAACATGATCTTTATGATTGTTGACTCAGCATGGATTTTTTGTTGGTTTTGTTTGTTTATTTTTTATATATATCTGTAACCAACTTGATGCTGCAGGTGTGGGCTTCCATACTAATTTATGCTCCAACAGAATGACTGGGACTGCCCTAAATTTATGTGACTCTAAAGAATTGTGAGCTACTCTTAAGACTTTCTTATGATAGTTTTTCTTTTGGTCTGTGTCTGATGCATGCTCCTTTTTTTGTTTTGTTTATGCTAATAGGCTTCTCTACCACAGTATTTCTGTCTTGAGACTCCAGTTTATGAGTGCCATTTTTTCTTTTCTCTCTTGTTTTCTTCCCAGAGCATACATAGACAGGTAACTTCACAGATGTTTAGTCAGAGAAGCAGCTGATGGTTCCATCAGATTTTGCTTTTGGCTCTGCCTTCCCAGGTTGGTTCTTGTATTTGAGATAAGATGTCAACGTTTTTACTTTTCTCACCAGGCATATTTTATAAACGTAAAAATATCATCAAGATCTGCTTCTTTTTTTATATTCTCATGAATGAGTGGAGCTGAAAGTAATTTGGGAAGCACTGCAGATCCATTCCTTCTTCTATCCATATGTTCTTGCAGCCTTCAGCTCTTGTGAGTTAAGTTCTTCCAGCCACGATCTGTTGTTTACATTTCTGCATAGCCATCCAACTTAGAGCTCCTGACACCCAGCTGAGCACTGAGATCACTTTGTCATCTGTGTCCCTGGAGTGCTCTTGTCCTCTGGTGTCACTGTTGGAACACCAAGGTAGTGTGTGAGGAGCTCCACTGCCGCCCTGGTGTGTCAGGTTCAGGGTGTTCCCTGCTCCATGGTGCCATTCCCACGGAGTTGCTTTCTTTGCTGTGTGGCTTGAAAGAGACCAAAGCCTCTTGGTTTCTCCATCAGCAGAACTCTTAATTCTGTTGTGTCAGGAGAGAGAGCCTGGAAAGCTGACTGCTTTTCTCAGCAGTGTATGTGCACCTCAAGCACCTCACGAGAGCTGCAGTAGCTCTCACCGTGGGTGATGTCTCTGACATGGGAGGCTCTGAAAAGGAAGGGTAAATTGGGTGTCTTACACACTGCTACATGTGCAGATCTGTCACATCTTCAGTACAGTGCTGCAGAATGGAAAGTCTTGTGATTTGAAGGGCTTGAGCCTTTCCTCCCTCTTAGCTGAGCTTTCATGCGGATGAGTGTCGATGATTTTTTTTTTCTCCTTGTGCTCATATCTCGGAAATGGAAACTTTTTAAGACCTCCTTCTAGGGCACAGTGAACTTGGTTTCATTCTCCCAGGACTGTGAAGACATATCTGAAGGCTGATTTGTCTAAGAAGTTACTTTCTTTGATGTGCAGTTCTCTAGAATAGAGATAACTACACAGTAAACTTCTTCAGCTTATAGGAAGATAGGCACATGATCTGTTTGTTCTTTCACGTGTTTTTCTCTGTTGTTTCTTTCACGTGTTTTTGGACACTGGCGTAACTGAACCTCTGGTTTGGCCATTCCTTTTACTCTTTTTTCCCTCTTTCTAAAAAATACACAGTTCTGTTTGTCCTTCCTACTTGAATCTTGATAGCTGCCCTTGCCTCTTATATTTTCATACATGTATGGCTGAAAATAAGTGCAGAAAAACAACTCATTCTGCCTATCTACAACCACCTGAATTGGACAATGATCAAAACTATCTGTCTAGGTCTCCCTGACTTATCAGGGGTGAGAGCAAGGGCTCTACAGAGAGAGATTTGCTCAGCCTGTTTTGGATGCACCTCTAAGCATGGAATTCATAAAGGAGAGCACAGGGGCTTTGTTTCCTTTTTTGAGTGAGCTGTAAAGTTACCTTAAACAATTTGTTTTGGCTTTTGGATGCAACCCTTCGTGTGTTTTTTCATCATCTTTGGTTTAGATTGAGGAAAATGAGGTTTCTCATCACAGTACAGTATTGTTCTTACTCTTAAAATATTGCTAAGAGATCATCTGAAATTGTCTTACAGTTACTACTTGAAAAAAATCTGATCTCCTTGATGATCTATACTGAAATGTGTTTCTGAGTGACAGGGACACTTTGCAGGTAGATTTATTATGGTTTTTACCATCTGCTTTAATAAATGAGTGAGCAGAGCATGTCAGAATGCCCTTCGGTTCTACCTGTGAGAGATGAGTTTGAATATTCTGAATGAATTATGGACATTAGACAGCTAAGGGTACTTATTCTGGAAATAGTGATTTACCAGTTGTTTGCATGCTGATGCTTTTATTTGTCTGCAGATATGCTAATGTGCATAAATGTTGTGCTTCCACATATCTGCAGCTTTAGTCACTGTGGAACTTTCTGGGGTGTGGGGGCATAGGCAGCGGTCTCATTGTTTGGCCTTGCAGACTTTGTTAAAAAATATTGGATTGCTCTGTTGCTTTTTAGTTGAAAAGGAGTTAATAAAACTAAATGTACTAGAAGAAATCCATGAAATCAGTGAACAGATAAAATGTTATTATTTGAAATGCATAATGTTGTATAATGGATGTGTGTAAAGTGTGGCAGAGATGGAAGTGCTCTCCAGACATAATGAAAGAACATGGATTCCTGTTTCTATAATTGAAGTTATTTCATACTTATCTGTTGGGGAAAAAATAGCAGGATTTTTTAAACAGATTTGCTTTCCATTAGTAATTATATTTAGCTGTAGCTCCAGATACCTTGCCAAGTTGTTTTTTTTTTTTAAGTTGGATGGAAGATGCATTTTCTTTCAAGATAATTAAATGTTTTGACTGTAGATTTTTCCTCCAGAGTGAATAAAGTATATGTGCATTAGAAAAAAGTTTTAATTGCTCATATAGTTTATAAGAGTTAGACAGACGGAAAACATTCATAATCCCATGCTTAATATAGGATAGAAGAGAAAAGTATAAATATGTTATATTCCACTTTTCTTTTTTGAAGTGTAATGAGCTGTTATTAATAGACTTTAGAAGTACTTGCCATTAGCAGTCTGAAAACCATTGCATAAGGTGAGCTTTTGCAGTTTCTCACATCAGAGTTTTGAGGTTTGATTAAACCTGTGGCGATACCTAAAGCTCTGGCAGAGGGATGAATATCAGCCTGGGTTTTTGGGCTCAATTCTGCTCTGCAAGACACACACAGAAATGCAGGAAGCCTTTGAACTCTTCCAAGTTCAGTCGGGCCCTCTGAATGCCTCCAGAATATAAATAATAAAAACCAGTATCACCTGATAATTCTTCTCTGCTCTCAGCTTGTGGCCTCTCTGGCAAACTGAGTTTTTGAACTTTTATTTTTCTTGGTACCCTGGCACCATGATCCGCAGCTTCATTTCCCTTGGGGATTCAGCTCTGCATTTCTGTACAAGGCACTTTAACTGTTGTAGAAGGTTGTTGGCCTTCATCTGGCAGCCTCTTAGAGACTTAAAATGAGAACCATCGGGTCAGTGGAATTACAGAGATACCTACCTGCAATTCTCTCTGTCTCCCAGGCATTATAATGTCTGTTGACCTAGCTGGGCTTTTTGTAAAGGATCTGTGAATCTGCTGGGTTTTTGTAGGACAGCTTTACTTTTCCTTAGAAATGAAAAGGAAAGCTTTCTCTGTTTGTTTTGGGAAGGGCCTGTCTGTAATGTTATCAGCAGAGGTTTCTCATTGAAGGTAATGCATTAAGGGATTTCCCCCACCTCTTCCCCTACCTGTGCCTTGCAGAAATGGCCTCAGATATTCCTGGCTCGGTGGCCTTGCCAGTGGCTCCCATGGCGAGTGGACAAGTGAGGATGGCAGGATCCATGCCTTCCAGAGGAGGAAAGCGTCGCTCTGGGTAAGCCATCTCCTTTTTTTCAGGTCTGAAATTGGAAATTACCTGCATTAGAAAACTCAAAATGCACCTGAATACATGTGTGTGTTAATTATGTAATGTTATATTTATGTAAGCTGCATTATGACATTAGTCACTGATGTTTTGTTTTTCTCTTCAATGCATCTGTTCTTCCTGCAAGATCAAACTTGCTGATAAGCATATGGCTTGTTGTTTGGCTTGTTTCAGAAGATTTTCAGGTTTGGCAAGACATCCAGAAAGGAGTTTGGATCCTGTGGCTATTGTAGATATAATGAATGCATATTGCCTATACCTGTTTAATCTCACAGTGATTTATCAAGTGAAAAAAGGTAGCAAGATTGCACATGGGGACTTCCTCAACTTCATCTGAAGGTTACACTTGGAAGCTCTTAAAGAGAGGCCTGTTAAAGATGTTTTCTTTATAGTTCCAGGTACAGAGATAGCATGAGAGCTCACTCTTCAGAGATTCTGGACAGTGACATTCTAGGTCTCGCTGGAAGCAGCCCAGTCTTCTTCTGGGAGAAGGGCCTGTATCAAATTCAGCCCTTACACAAGCTTGAGGGCTCTGCTAAAGAAGATTTGTTTTATCTAGCATCAGAGGCTGATGTGATGTAGGGGTAGTTGCCCACATCAAATTGTAATAGTAATTCTCGGTGTTAGGAAAAAAGTGGATCAAGAGCTTGAGAACAGAAAACTACTCTCTAGTATTAATAACTCCCTCCTGTTTTTACCAAAGGTTGATCACAAATAGTAATGGTTTTTGGATGATGCTTTCTCAGAGACAACTGATCTGAGAGTCTCTTCAAAAGAGATTGATTAGTTTTATGTTTAGTCCTAAATCAGACAGTGGTGGGGCTTAACAGGATCAACAGTGTGAGTGAAATCTTCCCTAGTGATCACCTAAGGAGGACATTATTCCTTGCAAGAGCTGCTCTAGGGAAATGTTCACCAAGGTATGTTGCCAGTTCTGTGTGTCTGCTCCAGTAACAGTGCTGGAGTCCCAGTCTTGGAGTGAATTAACAAGGGGGAAGGTTGACCTTGCCTCGAATGCAGAGTGAGGTTGGTGTGATGGAACACTCTGGATGGTTGTTCTGAGGGATGTTCCTTTGGGCAGAAGAGTTTGAATATCTCCCCCCACTGAGTGCCCTTCTTATGCTGAGCTAACTGTATGGAACTGGTTTGAGAAACTCCTAAAATCTCTTTGACTGGTATCACATTTTTATTTTCAAGCTGCTCAATGAGAAAACCTTTTTAAACTTGCACTCAAAAGAAAAGACAAAGCATTAACCTCTTTTCATTGCTACCTAACACAGATAAGGTTTTGTACTTGAGTTGCAGGATATTTGATCTCTTTTTTGATCATAAACTGTGTCAGCTCTGAATATCAGTTTGCAATTTACTGTTGCCAAGGTTTGATGCTGCTGACTGTGAAATATTCTGATATTAAATACTGACTTCATATTAATTGAAATGCTTTAATTGTTGCATTTTAAGTATTGTCATCTATTTGTGAGAAGGTGAAGTGAGGGGAGGGTGGGAGGAACATAAAATCAAATTATTTTAAATGTCTTTAACATGTTAATTCACTGAGTAAATTAGTATAGATTCACATTTATACCTGGATCATGTTATTTCATCTGTGCACCATAGCTCTGAACTAATTGCCTTTCTCCAAGCCTGAGCTGAGAGTGCTTTTTTTTTTTAATTATTATTATTTTTGTAATATTTTTTTAATGTTCCCTCTGTGTTTATTCAGACCTTGAGGGAAAGAATGCCTGCTGTGTCTAATTCCTCTGAGCTTCTTTTTGAACAAAGTTGCAACGAACACTTGTTCCTTTCGCTGCTGTTCTGGTGATACATCTTGGTACACCTCAGTCCTTGGGCATTTTAGGAGTGCTCTGTGTCAAACATAAAGGAGTGGAGCAAGCATACGCAGCCAGCTTTCCCAGTTTTGGTTATCTCTGAAAATTGTTTCTTTTTTCATAATTGCTGAGGCAAGCTGGCAGAATAATTGCTGTGTGGACTTGAATGTAGATCAGTTTAAACTCACTGGCTGTCCAGAAAGTGTTTCTGTCGTGTCGGCATTTGGCTTCATTGACATCTTGGAAAAATATTTTTCCTTTCTATAAATTATACCAACTACTTCACAGAAAAAAGATAATGCACTGCAGTGGTCAGTGACTATCTTAGATTATTGCACCCTCAGTTCTTTATTTAATGTGGTTTTAATTCAGGCTTTGCTGTATTAGAGGATAAGGGGCTCTTTCACCTTCCTGGGCTGTCTGTACTTGGGCAGGGAGGGTTGGGGTTTTTTGGATGAGCTGGTTTCATTGCATTGGTTTTGTTTTGGTTCATGGTGTAGTCTTGCCTTTTCTCTGAACCAAAACTATCAAAATCTGGGGAAAAGAGACCTCACTCCACCATTCTGCCCCTCAATTTTGTGCAGGATAAAAGGCTGTAATACAAATCCTCATCTGCTTCTCAGCTGCATTTGCTCCTGACCATTCCTGCCTGCCTTCTCCGTACACTGTGTAATCATGGCAAGCATCTTTTGACATTTCTTGGGAATTTTACATAGTAATTGTGTTGCAGTGTTGCAATCCTCTTGCATGTCAATTTTTTTACCCTGTGCAGGTCGACCTTGTTGGAGGCATTTTGGTTTGTAGGGTGTTTTTTATGAAAATGTTTCTAGTTGAGAATAATTAATTTTTTAAAGTATTTTTATTGCTGTATTTATGGTAGCCACACATCTTCTAAGGAAAATACATTTTAATAAGTACCTCATGCATCAGGCCTTTTCACGATTGATGTGAACAGTATGAAAGAGGAAAACAAGATTTATGCTGTCTCTTCAAAACAAAAGAGCATAGTGCAGCTCTTTTTTAAAGCCTCTTTTTAATGGGAATTTTAAATGAAGATAAAAGATAGTCTTTCTGAATCTTCTGAAATGATGTCATTTGTCTTCTGGGAGGCTGCTTCTACTGTTTTGCTAATGTGCAGTATATTCTATCTAAACAGAAGATCTTATCTGTCAGGGTATGAGGAGGTTGATGGAATATTATTTTTACGTGTTCTGCTGTGTTCTACTAAAGGTTGCAACTGATTCACTGCCTTTCCTTCTGCCTTGCTGTAAAGCACAGTGGATCAGGCAGGACACTGGAATCAATGACTTTATGTCTGAGGGGTTTTTTAATGTTTCAAAGAGTTTTTTCACTTTGCACAGTGAAATTAGGAAATGTGTTATTAACCAAGATGGAACAGAGATACATTTGCTGATGCATTTTTTTAAAGTGTTGATATTTTATATGAAATTTATGTTCAACTTTTATATGAAATAAAGGGCTTGGGTAGTTTAACAAAGCAAAGTCATTATTTAAAGACTTAGTCTGGTGCAGACTGGTGTTATACCCCATGCATTCAGATTCTGCTGTGATGAGCCCACTATAAATGTGGGAGGTGTTACCTGAGGATATTAACCCATCAAGAATCTCCTAAAGGAAGAAGCTGATATCCAACCATCATAAATAGGTGGGTTAGCCGTCCTCACTCCCTCAGAGTGCAGGTAGCAGGATCAAGCCTTAAGCTGTTATCATCATCTCTAATTCCCCGCATTGTATTCCAGTAATAATAAACTAGATTAAATGCAGTACAGCTAATATTTGATTTTGGGGAAAACTCATCCCTTAGCACTCAGCTGGAGTATTTGGCTGGAAGCTAAATAAATCATAGAATCATATCCACCAAGGCATGTGATCTCAGTGTACTGTAGAGGAAGGAAAAGAGGAACAAAATTAATCTGTCCCAGATTAAAGCAGTGTCTCATAAAATCCCTGAAGAAAAGTCTTTCCCCCACAGGTGTATAATTTTTTTCTGCAGCCCTTTTCCCCCAGTTTGAAACTGGGTGTTTCTCTCAGATGTGTTTCAGCTGCCAGTGAAACCCAGGTAAGGGTGTGATGCTTTTGTGAGTGGCTTCAGGTGCAGCCATCCCAGTGCTGCCCTCCCCTTGTAAACAAACAGCTCTCCTTAACATTGACCTCTGCATTTTCAGTTAGGGGTAGAAACATTCCAATTCCTATAAATGGGAAGGTTTTTCTGGAATGTCACATTATTACACGTGGGGAGGAAGCAGGTAGGTGAGAGGAGACCCTGGGCTATACCACATGTGTAAATGTTAAATTTATGGGAATGCTGCAAGGGAATCAAGGGGGATTCAGGCTGCTGGTGCCACATTTGGGGTGCCAGCAGCAGCTGGGCCCTGGCTTAGCTGCAGCCCTGTGGCAGAGCTGAGGCCACTGGGGGTCAGTGCTGTTCTGCATGAGGCAGCTGAGGGATCATCACGGACCTTGGAACCGGATTTGGTGCTAATTAGGTGAGCAAAGATGTAATTTATGGTGAAAACGATGATTGCATCAAAGCTAAGCGAGTTAAATACGCAGCTTTTCTTAAAGCTCTTTGGGGAAAATGGTTTTCTCTTTGCTTCCTCCAGAAATGAATAATCACTGTTACCATCTGGAAAATATTATTGTAGCTTTTCTAGTGCCATGTCCAATTCCTGTGCTGACTTGCTGCCCTCATTCCATTTGTACAGAGGTTGCTGTGACTCAGACACATCTTTTATGGGCCGGAATCTCTTGGTTGTCAGAATTTAAGAAGGAAGAATTTAGAAGAATTTAGGAGAGCGCTGCCTGACTGGCACTTCTCTATGCTGATGTAGTTTTAAAGACTGTTTTTGCATCTTTGTTCCCACACTCTGGACATACAAATCTCAATTTTTAATTGGTAGGAATCATTTTAGTATTGGGATAAATATCATTGTCACTTTGAAGGTTTTTTGCCCTTAATAGGACTTATACCTGTTAATATGAACAGTATTAGAGACATGGAATCTCTAGTTGTATGAAGTTTTACTACACTGAAAGGATGGAAAGCTTAGAGAGTTAAAGAAATCTGAAAAAATGTTTGCAAAACAAAACTATCATTTCCTGTCTACACAAATTAAGAGAGATTGATCAACGTCTGTATATTATACTAACGTATTTTTTATTAAAATAAATAAACTAATATTATTGTATATTATAGTTTTATATCAGCTGGACTGTCTAATGGCAGAGTTACGTCTTTATATTTGGGGATATAAATATTTATCCACCTTTTTTTAGAGGTATAGAAATGTCTAAAATGCTTTGTAAATTATATTATTGTATAACTGTAGTGATAATATCTATGATACACTCATACTGCCTAATACAGGAATCTAATTTAGATGTCTAAATCAGGAAGATAATCTTCCTAGCCTGTTTGTGTAAGAAGTGAAGAAAGAGGTTTCTGCTTTTTGTGGTTCCTTGGAGGAGCCAAACTGGCTCAAGGGATTTGGCCCAAGGAAGAACTCCACTCTTCCACAGCCTTGAGAAGTTCTGGAACACAAATCAGCTGATGAGCTGCTCCTAGATCCTGGAGGGGATGGGCAAGACTGGAATCCTCAGCCCTTAACACCTCCAGGCAAAACACAAATCTAACAACACTGAGAACAGCTGTTCATGCCACCATTGCCAACACCTTGATTGCTGATTTGGAAATCTTGCTTTTACAGAATGGACTTTGATGATGAAGATGGGGAAGGGCCCAGCAAATTTTCAAGGTGAGCATTTACAAGAGTTGACCAAATCACTGATTTCTTTCAGTGGGGAAAGACAGCTGTCTCATTACTGATGTTTGAAAATCAATATAAATACAGGTGAAGAACTTGCCAACAGCTCAACCCAAATATTAGTTACTCTTTTTATTAGCTTCCTCTGAAAATCAGGCATTTTGGCAGAAACCTGCCTGATGTAGTTATTGGCTTATAAAGCTGACAGCCTGTGTGTCACAATTTCACTCTGGAGCTATATCAAATGAGAAAACTTGTGATTTTTAGCTTATTATTTCAACTGCTGTAGATGAACTTCGGTTATTTGACATTGCTGAAGTTGTCTTTTGGCCACTGAAAAGGAAATTTCATTTCTAATTTATTTCAGATGTTAATTGCTTATCAAGATGATTTGACAGATTGTAGAGGTGGATTGTTTTTTTAAAGTTAGTGAACTTTACATTATGTACCATTAGGTGTAACTGAATAGTAAAAATTGACAAAAAAATGTTAATTCACATGGAATATTCAAAGCTAGAAATAAACAGTAAAGCCTCATTGCCATTTTTTCACTTTTCTTTTTTTTTTCCTGGTCACACTGTTTGCATTTTTTCATTAGAAACCAAGCAGCTGCACTGAGGGGTGTAGATACTTTGAGGCCTGTGGGTAACTGCTGATTATCCAAATTGTAATTGCAGCTCTGTAGCAGCAGCCATGTTGCAGCACAGCTGTCACTGTAGGGTTTAACGGGGTCATTCCAGTCTGAAAGAGAAGTGTGCTGAAGATCCACTGTGACACCATATCATCATTTACTGGACAAGACCAGCAGTGCTTTTGTTTGGTTGATGTCATTTATAGAACCAGTTAAAACTGGTGATTTGAGGGCTTGGTCCTAATATTTACTAGAAGACACATGTTAAGGGAACAAGATTTGTGAGGAATGGGAGCTGATTTGTGCCTGCACAAGCATCAGGGTTTCTGGGCACACTGATACCCATGTGTTGGTCCTTCCCCATTCTGGTTTTGGCCTTTCAAAATTTGGTGGTGGGTTGAGCCAATAATTCCATTGCTTTTAATGGAGAGGTATGCTGTGCTGTGCTTAGACTCAGTTGGTTTTTGGTGTCAGATCAAAATCTAAGTCTTAAATTCTGCGTAGACCCCAGATTGTTCTGTTTTTAGAGTACAGAAGAAGCATGCAGAGACACCCAGGGCTACATTCCGACATCCTCTTCAAGTTGTTCCCTTCTCCAGATTGCTCACATGACCTAGCTTGTTTCAGTCAAAATTATTTAGTTGTCAAAGAGCTGCTGTTTAAATGTTGAGGCTAACCCAGCTGGCTTTGACTGAAGTGCCTGAAGGAGCACTTGTGCAGAGGTCAGCTGGGAGGCTGGAAGGGAAAACCAGTTGGAGGCAGGTTGGAGGCAAAAACATCCTCAGTTATTGCAGAGCAGGATGAGTGGCCAAGGGCCAGGCTGGTGGGAGCACAGGAGCAGCGTTGTTAGCACAGTGCCCCATGGCAGGTGACACACACTGCTGCTGCTCAGGGCTTCCAGCTCAGCTCAGGTATCCCTGCATGACACAGAGCCTGTGCATGTGCTTCCCCTGTAATGTGCCCATTCCTCATTCAATTGGGCTTTTTGCTGAAAATTACTTGGCCTCAGTCTGTTCTCCAGGCAGAGTCAAGGGGAATAGAGTGGTGTTATGACTTGAATGTTCTGAGGGTGCTGGTGTTGAACACAGCATAAAGAAATGCATCTCAAGATTTGCTTAAGCTTTGTCTTCACTGTTTGAATGAGGAACTGGCATAGGTGGATTCCCTAAAATTAGTTTTAATTCATTTCAGACAGAAAAAAAGTAAAATTTCATTATTGATTTGTTAGAAGAGGAAAGCATGCTTATTTAGTCTGTATTACTTTTTTAGCTAATACATAGGACCTTCATAGGCTATCTGTTGTAACAAATTACATCATTTTGGAGAGGTGTAATGTTAATAAAATTCTCATTGAACTGTTCTTGAGCAGTTATAGTCTTCACTTGTAGAAAAGCCATTACCTTATTTTTGTGTTTTCCAAAACATACATTTTGTGTTTTGGAAATCACAGTTTCGTTTCAAACAAATGAGTCTTTCCATAACTATGCTAGCAAAATTCAATTTCATATGATTAGTGCATTTTTAGCAAAGAGAAAGAGGAGCAGCATGTAATTTTTTACTGAAATGTCACATTGCTGCCTGCCTTTGGGACAATGCTTCAGAAACAGTGAAGCTTTAGTTCCATAGGACAAAAGTCCCATTGGTCTGGGTTTCCTCCATAAAGGTGCTGCTCAAACACCACACATACCTGCCTGGGCATCCAACTTCTGTTGATTTGAGTAGGAATGAGGTACCTGTTTACTTCTAGGGAATTAAGCCAGTTTAAATTTCACTTCTGTTTACCCAGCAGTTTCACCTGCCTGCCTGCCTGTTGCCAGCCTCCAGGACAGTCAGTGCAGTGTCTGTACCTACAGAACTTTTTCCCTTACATAAGGCATCGCCCTTCAGCCGTGTCTCTGCCCTCCTGTGCTATCTGTAGACCATCAGTGCCCTCTGCTGAATGGAGGGAGCTGTGGTTGCAAGCTGGAACAGACACAGCCCCTTCACTTCCAGCACAGCAATGAATATTTCATGCCCTGCTGTGGATAAAAGCTCACTGGTGTTTTCTGTACTGGTGCTGCTTGTTAAGTTTCCTAAGAAATCAGTGTATGTCAAAGTGTTTGCTTAAATCCACTGAAATGTGTCTTGTATTTTTTTTACTATACAAATGAAGTTTCTGGATTGGCATGGCTTGGATCAAGCTCTGTGTTTTCTTTGCTGTATCATTCTTATTACCTTGTTTTTTTCTGTTATTTGTAATGGTTTGCACTTGTAAATTTTTTTGCTTTCTGCTGTGTGTTGGCTATCACACAATGCATAACCCCTGCTGACTGATGTACTGTCTTTTGTTTCTAGGTATGATGGTGATCAAATCACTGGTGATAAGGAAAAGTTTGCAAGGTAGGCGTGTCCTGTAGAGCTCTTCTGCTGAGAGAAAAGAGGGGGATGTTCGTGTCCAAAAAATCTCAGTACGTGTGCCTTAGCTTAGAGACATGGTTACTCTGTTTTAGGTGAGATGATGATCAAAGTAGTGCTGACACAGAAGGGAAAGGTAGGAAAAAGAGACGTCAAATATGGTTTGCCCCCATTTTTCTTTTATATGATGCTGTTCATACTGATCTTTTGGCTGTTCCAAAACTGCTTGAAGTACAAACCCATAGTGGTTTTGGATCAGCTCCCCTGTATCCCAAAATCTAATGTCCCTTCTTAATTTCTGTATAAAAACAAGGTTAGAAATGACAGAATTAGGACATCATTCTGTACATGTTTGTGAATGCCATGGCTCTTAGGACACACACGCTTTGGAAGAGAAGCGCAGCCTCTCTTTTTCTTTTAAGGCTTTAAATTTGAACTTGTTTCCGGAAACTTTTGGGGTATTGTCTGCTTGAACATTTCCACAGCCAGCAGATTAATTTGCTATTACTTTCTAGCTTTTAAGATCATAAATGAAGTGGACTATTGGGATACTCCTTTTCTCTCAGAAAGCTTTAGAGTCTCTTTGTTTAGTCTCTATAAAATGGTTGTTTTCAATCTCCAAAAGTACTGAAATACTTGAGTGGTAGACAATGTATTATGTACCTATAAGTGTGAAATGTGTGTTGAATCTGTCTGTTCTTTGTCTCTCTCTCTTTTTTTCTTAACCACCGCTTCTGTGAAAGTGCTGAACTTAGAGCAAGCTTTCATCATGTAAAAATGCTTTTATCTTCCCTGTGTCCATATTTATCTGCATGTACCAGCTGGCATGTACACACGTGTGCTCTGTGTACATGTGCAGTGTCACACCAGCTCTGTGTGTGTGACCCAGCTCCCCTTGTTCCCTCCTACATCTGTGCAGACCCACACAGGGGCTGTTCCTCAGCCAGGTGAAATGAAAGGTTCACTATTACAGTGTCCTGGACAGTGAGTGACCTCAGGCAAGGCTTGGCTGTAATTTACTGAGCATAGCTGGATTTTCTGCATATCACACAGTAAGCATAGGAATAATAATTCTGCATGTAGCCCTAACAAGTGTTGTTTCTGCAGACTGTGCCCTCATGCATGTAACACCTGTATGTGCAGGGGCAGGAAAAAGCAGGGCAAGCACTTGCATTCCTCTATTTCAGGAAGCAGCATACAATTCTTTCCTGCATTTTAATAAAAGGCTTAATTCCTGAGAGTATCCAAAAAGTGTGCCAAGCCTAGCTTCTGCTTTCATGTCAGTCTTCACAACAGTCAGCTCCAAAGAATGTTGCAGTTTCTTTTAATGTTGTGTTATCACATCAGTCAATGCTGGTGGACTCTCCAAGTGATCACCTCTCACATCTTGTTGGATCAGCCAGCGATCCCACAAGACAATGCCATGCACAGCTCATTGAAATCAGTGGAAGATGCTGCTTTGACAACTGAAGCATCATCTACCTGTCGTGTACTTGTATTTAGCTGCCACCTGACAGGTACAGTATGAGAAGATGAGTGCTGGGCACTGAAGCATTCTAGGTCCATTTGGACCATTTCAGATGTATATATTGGTGTGATTCCTTAATGCTGATCAAGTAGTGGTAATTTCCAGAATGGGAAAACTGAACTCTGAGATGTTTATTTCTGAAAGATTCTGGTGGGTGTCCATTTGAGGATTTCTCAAATTTGACTCACCACCTCAGCCATATGATTGCTCTAAAGGATGAGAACATTGCAGCCTAGCCCAACTTGGGGCAGCATCAAGTACTGTCATTGTTGCTTCCCTGCTGTGCTAAATTGTCCCTGAACATAAATTCTGGTCTATGTCTGACAAGCCAGATGTTTACTTGCTGTCTTTTGTACTTATTTTATTTATTTATTGGGATTTTTTTTTTTTTTTATGTACTGTTATCCCATATATGGTCCCAGTGCTGCAGTCTGATCCTGCAGGCATGTAGTGACTCCCTGCAGGGATGTGGGGTGTTCCAAACAGCATTGTTTGGCATCTGTGTTGTCACTGAGTGGGCTTTTTTCATAAGTCAGTGCTGACGTTTCCTGCTGACCTGATCCAGTTGTTAGTGAGAGGTTTCCTCTAAAGGACACCTTTTATGAGCAGCTGAGAGATGCATCACAGCAAATCTGGGAGTTTGACTGGAGTTGGCAGATGTTAGCTCCTCACATATTTCTACTTCATTTTTGTCCTTAAACCAAAGGAGATTAAACTAGTTAAGAGATTAAGGCCACAAGCCAATAAATAGAAATACAGGTTCTTTTCACAGCTATGGGCAAATCATATTTATCTGTCTGTGGCCTGGATTTTCTGTCTGTAAATGGAGGGATAACAGTGGTTGGCTTTGTAAAACACTTTGCTCTCCCGGGGTGCAAACAGCAAAACAAGTGCGAAGCATTATGATTCATTACCTCCAGTTGAGATTCTTACACTGCTCACGTCTCTTTCCTGTTGCTTTGGTGTTTCTTTAAATGCTCAGGGAGAATCACAGTGAGATTGAGAGGCGCAGGAGGAACAAGATGACCCAGTACATCACGGAGCTATCGGACATGGTGCCCACGTGCAGCGCCCTGGCTCGCAAGCCCGACAAGCTGACCATCCTTCGCATGGCTGTTTCCCACATGAAATCCATGAGGGGCACTGGAAACAAATCTACTGATGGAGCTTACAAGCCTTCCTTTCTTACAGAGCAGGTAGAATTTACGAAAATGTTGGTTTTCCCTGGTTTTTTTTGGTGTTAAAAGGTGTAGAGCCTCAGCTTGGTCCTTCACTGTAGTGTGGCAGCTGGTACCAGTTACGTATCCAAGGTGTGAATACAGACAGGTTTTTGTGACTGTTTGGACTTGATCTTAACACCATGACGGATCGTTCTTTTTGGAGAAGCAAATTGGCATTCTTACCATTGAGATATGTCCATCTGAAAAACAAGTACTCACTGCCTTGCAGAAAGGAATTTTCACCTCCAGATCTGGCTTCTTCCCATCCAAACAGAGATTCTCTAAAATAAGTAAAAATTAGTCTGGAAAGACCTGCCTCTCTCTCTGGGGATTAGAGGAAAGTTGAAAACATCATTTAGTCTTAATATTGGAGTTCCCAGCAGCTGAACTGGACAGAGATGAATCCCATCTCTCCTAGCTGAGGTACTTCTTGGTTACGTTTTTGATAGAAGAAGGAAGATGCACCCAGTGCTTGAAGGAAAACTTTGTTTACTGAACACATTGAAAATTCCTACCACCTCCATTGTTTGCGAAGTCCTATGGGTGTAGTGTTCATTTTTGTGGTCTGAAGTGATTTGAGCACTTACACATGGAAGTTATGGCTGGAGGCAATACTTCTTTCTCTTAGGTAAACAGCAGCTGCTGCTGACCCCTCAGTGCTCACGACTGCTTATTCCAGCTCTCCTGGAGTGTGTTTCTGAAGGGACTGTGCCATTCTGCTGGTGGCACACCATAGTCACTTCTCATTGCAATTTTTTCTTTTTTTAGATCTTGCAGAATTACAGAGTTTGCTTTCACCTTTTTTAATAATGTGCAAAACTGATTATACTATCCTCAGTATAGTGTGGCCAGCTGTGCTATGAGGTTTTGTTCAGTCAGTAGTTCAGGATCAATGTCTATAACAAAGGAGCAGAAGTTGACAATCTGTTGATTGTTTCTTGAGATGAGTTATCCATTTCTTAGTAGTTAGCCAGATTTTTATCCTCACCTTAATTAGCTAATACCTACCACTGGCACACCAACCCTGCTGAGACATCCCACCTGGAATGAGACTCGGTGTTTGAGTTCCAGGTGCAGGATCTTAACAAGCTCTGGTGGTCACTTTAGCCACCAAAGGCTGTTCCAGCTTCTTTTGCAGGAATTGGAGTGGTAGTTGTCATCCTTTGCCATGAGAGGTTTTCAAGCTCTGTTAAGCAAAGGGAGTATTTCTGGGTGATGCTGAGGCTTCACACTCACAGGCTGGAATACCTCCAGAACCTTCTTGTGTAGTGGCTCAGGGCCCTTAATGGAAGAAGAGGCTGGGGATTCTTTCCTCATTCCCATTACACTTTCTGCCTTTTATCTCTTGACTGTTTAATTTACAAACAGAGCTCATCCTGAGCAGGGCTGGGGAGAGCCAAACTAGAAAGTCTTATTGCTTTCCTTCCAACTAAATTATTCAGAACTTTTAATTAAGGGATGAATTTGCCACGAGTTAGAGCTGTTCATTTCCTCTGTTTGTACTCTGAAATATCTTTTTATTTTTTAATGTTAGATGCCTGTCACAGATTATACAGTGAGTATTAGTTGTTTATTTTCTTCAAGTGCATGGAGATCGCCAGAGGAAAGGCAATAACAGAAAATAAAACATTGTTTGTTATTGAGATGGGCAATTTATGCCTTGCTGCAAGTTTGGTTGTATTGTGAAAATTTTTGTCTCGGTTTTGATCAGTTCGTAAGATCACAAGAAAACAATATTTTCTGACAGTGACTGATGTTATATTTAATTCCCTTTCCTCACTGGCATTCTAATCAAATCCTTTCTTTGGAAGGAACTGAAACACCTTATCCTGGAGGCTGCAGATGGGTTCCTGTTTGTGGTTGCAGCTGAGACGGGCAGAGTGATCTACGTGTCGGACTCGGTGACTCCCGTGCTGAACCAGCCGCAGTCGGAGTGGTTTGGCAGCACTTTGTACGAGCAGGTTCACCCAGATGATGTGGAAAAGCTGCGGGAGCAACTGTGTACATCTGAAAACTCCATGACAGGTCAGAAGTGGCTGATGTGTGCTTCTGGGTGTTCAGGATCCCTGGAGAGCTTTTCCTGACATTCAGAGTGTCGGGTGTAAAAATCTGGTTGAAGTGAAACTCAGCTAGATTAAACTGTGTTTCCTTGCAGGCAGCACAGTAATATAAATCTTCTTTTGAGTGACTGCATTTTGCTTCCTATTCATTGACTTCAGTCAAACCACCTTCATGTAGCTCTGCATTCAAACTCTGGTTTGGAATCTAGATTGTTCTCAGGCTTGGTCTGCAAATCTAGATTGTTTTCATTTCATCCTCAATGAACTTGTGACTTCTTGACAAGTATGTGTTTCTTTGGGGCAGTGTTTAACTTGAAGTCAAAAATCATATTCAGACTTTTCTCTTTTCATACAAGTTCCGTGTCGTTTGCTAATTGGAATCTTGAAGGGAAAAAATCCAGTGTTTGGCAACTAAAAATATACTGGATTTTAATCATGGGCCTCCTGTGCAGCAGTGTAAGTTGCCTGAAAGTTGAATACCTATCATGTTGCACATAAAACTAAATCATACTCATATCTACAACTCTGACTTTTACAGTTATTCATGCACAAAGCTGCCAATAGGAACCTACCTTGTCTTTAATAGGATATGTGTATGGTAGAGCTGTGAGAATTAGCTAAATTTTGTTGTAACTCAAACTTGGAAAGGAGGAAACTTCTCTTTTTATTCTTCACTTACTATGTTTATAGCTGAAGGAAAAAAGGTAGGGGATAATATTCAAAAAACCCCTGATCCTTGCAGAAGTCATAATTTCTCTTTGCTTTAGTAGTTAAGATTTCTGACCTGGTTTGCTGGAAGTTTTGTTGTGTTTCATAACTCAAAGGACAGCGGTCCAGTTTTGAGTGAACCTGCACACTGTTTACAACTTCCATGTCAAAACAGTGCCAAATTCATGATTTCCTGTGGTTTGAATGTGATGTGGTTTTGGCAGAGCTTTCGTGTATTCAAATGGGAAGCTCAAAGCAAAATTCTGTGGTAAAACTCCAGATGGAAAGAAACCAAGTGAGCAGTTAGGGGAACCTGTGCAGGGCAAAACAGCTGAGTTTCATGCCACGAGACTTGCAAAAGAGCACAACCTCTGTTTTTATTATGTAGCCTGTAATACATTTTAACATTCATACCATCTTGTCCAAGAAGCAATTACTCCAGTGCCTCAGTGAACAGTCATGTTTTGACTTCCGAAAGTGCTCAGTTATGGGACTTAACCTGCTCAAACCAGAGCTGGACTAGACAAATGCAGAGCACTTCTGAAAACCCAACTCTGTACTTTTTCCAGCCTTAGCTATGGGCTTTTCTTCTGCGCTGGATTGATCTGTTGCCAGTGGAAAGAGAAGTTCAATAGTATTTATAGAGCTAAATCTTTTCCCTGCCTGAATCTTGTGGAGTTGTCAGATTGACACAGAAGGCCTGTAAATCTGGTGTACATGGACAGCTGAACATTTGCCTAGCATGAGCAAAGCAGGGTTGCCTGCTCAGCTTTTTAAATACTTTTGTTTTAAAGGTGTGGCTGGTGAAGTACAGTAATTTTGTTTACAAGTAGTTCTGTCAGTTTGTGGAGCATACAGACCGCCAGAAAGTTCTAGATTTGTTATTTTAAACTTGTATTTCCTCCACTCCACAGAGAAGCAGTCTTCTATAAGGACTGTCAGTCCAGGCTCAATTTGTTTATTAACATCAGGCACCATCATTCTTGCTCCTTTGAGATACCTTTCTAGGAGAAAGGTGATTCTAAAGTCCATTCAGCCAGTTACACTTCCCTTGATGTAGCACAGGCCATATGGAGAGCAGAAGCTTTGCAACAAGTACTGAATGAAATCTTGCAGTGACCTGAAATAATATGTGCCTTAGTGACATTTTAAAAGATGTCGAGGAGGCAAATGCATTTCCTCTAATTTGGTGTTTATTAAACCAAGTTTTGCTTGGCTTTCCAAAGGCATGTTTCGTGCAGAACAAAGGGCAATGTAGAGCTTGAAAGTGATGGAAACCACAAGCTGCATCTAGAGTGTTTTTTGCTCAGACTGAAGTTCACTTCAGGCAGTAGGAACATCCTCATCTTGTCTGGCTGTTGAGCACAGAATCTGCTTAGGGAAAAGATTTTCAAGTGAAAGTTCTGATCTTTAATTTTGCTCTCTTCCTCATTTTCTCAGGGTCCATTTTCTCAATGCTCTAACCTCCCCCTTCAGCCCTTGAGCTGGGAAAGCAGTGACAGCATTTTGACTCAGGAGAAACTTCACTTGCCCTGCAGCAGATCCGAGCAGTGTCCTTTGGTTGTAATTGTCTTGTTACAAGTTCTGATCATTAGTGTGGTGTTGCTGGGATTTTCCCAGCACCTCTTAGCAGTCCTGCTACCCAGAGATGCTGTTCCAGACCCTGAGAACTTGGGAGGCTGCCAGTGCCAATGGGGAGGGACAAAGAACAAGCCAGTGGAGGAAGCAGGCTCCTGCTCACATTTCTGCCCCCAGGAGTAAGGCTGGGACTGGGGCTGTGCTCACATGAGCATTTTTTGGCAGTCACACAGCTTATGCAATCCTCACCTCATTTCACCCTCTCCTCCTTTGGCATTTCTGTGGTACTTACATATGAGTCACATCAAGGGGTTGACCTGCTGAAAGCTAAACTAAGCTAAAACCCCTTGGTTTTGGTAGAGACAGCTCTTTGGCCCACCTGGTCATGGGGTTTCTCAAACTCTTGTGGGTGCTAACACCAAGGAGAAGCAGAAAGTGAATAGTTAGAAGACAGGACTTCAGGAGCTGTAAAATATGTGTTAAATTGTAGTGTCTGTTAACCATGACCTCAACCACGTGGTGTGTTTGGGGAGTTAATTGCTTGCTCTTCCTTGAAATTTTAGGATATGGGGAAGGATGGATAGTTTGTATTTAACTTTGTGTCCTTGGAGACTTTATTCCCTGGAAATAGAACAATTGTCTGCTTGTTTATTGTGCATTAATTGCTAACACATTGTAGCAACAGGAAAGCTGAACTGTGCAGTGTATGAACAGTTAGAAATGATCTAGAAAAGAACAGCTGAGCCGTGATGATGGCAAAAAATTGAGCTCCCAATTTTTTTATGTGCGTCATGTGCGTGATTAATCAGAATGGGGCAGATATTCAGAGTGATAATTCATTTTCCCTCTTTGTTCTTGAAAATCTGCAGATGTCAAAATAAATCACTTCAAATATGATGAAGATCAGATCCCACGGGAGGATCCATTAGCAAAGAGCTCTTTGTGGTCAGGGTGCACTGGTGGAGCTTGGGGCATATTGGGTTCAGGTGCAGGCTCAGTCCCAGTGCTAGTGAGACCCTCTCAGCTGCAGACAGCAAATATCTAATGAGAGAACAGACAGAACTTAGATTTAAGTGTAGAGCAAAGCCACTTTTGAAGAATTCCTCTGCTACATTAGCTTTCCAAAAAATGACTGAGTGAGTATTGTAGTAGACTGTCCTTCTGTTAAAATGCAGTGCTCCAGAGCACTTTGCAAGACTGATTTCTACAAATCTAATTCTCCATAAGTAGTTCATGAAAGAAGAGAGTGATGAGCACAGACAACTCTCTATGATTGCCTGGAAATATTCCCAGTGATTCCATGATGTGTCTGAGATGTAAGATCCCCGTTCCTGCACCCAGCATCTCCAGTGGGGCAAATGGGAAACACTGAGGTTTGTTACCTTCAATCCTGGGCTGCAGGCAGCACAGCACATAGAAATCAGCTATAACATCTCCCTGCAGCCCCAGCCTCTGTGCCTGGAGAGGCAGGGAGCAGCATTTGCCATCCCACCCATGACACAAAGGCTCCCCAGGACAGTTGGGTTCCCCAGGAGTCCTTGCTGAACTGTTGAGGGGTGCTGAAAGTGCAGAGCAGTGAACCAGAACATCTATAGCTTTCATTTTCAAGTAATTTAAAAATGACTAAGTCACTTCACTTGCTAGCTGACAAAGATTAGTTGAGGTTACTTCTGGACAGAACTTGTATGCCAAGTTTAGTCTTGGCAAGATCTTTTATTGCCATATTTTTTAAGTGCGACAAAGTAGAACTTAATGATGGAAATGGTGACTGACCACAGCAAAACTTGAGCTGATAGGCATCTCTTGAGAAGGAAAAAGCATTGTGTGACAATTTTCTGTGGTTTGTGTTTATTGTGGAAGCATCACTCCGTGCTATACAAGCATATATTTGGTCTGGGGAGCCTGTCTCACAGAACCTTCTAATAGCATGTTGTCTTGCAGTGATGATTTCAGCTTAAGCAGTTTTCTGTCCAGCTGCAAACCCTTGTTACCAAGCAGTTTGTAGACACAGCCACAAAATCCAGATGTTGCAAATAGAGTAAAATTGTAAAAATGAGAAAACTGTTCAGTTTGAAAGAGGGAAGGGCCAGAGACCAGGGGCTCACCAGTGGAGAGGCAGAGTAAGGCATTCCACAGCACTGAACAGATGATAAATAACCATGTGAAAGAGAAAATTTGGGATAACTTTTCTCCTCAGCACATAATCTGACTGAAAATCAGCGCAGGATTGTTTGTGCTGTGAGCTGCCTTATGCTGCCATGTCTGTTTTCCAGCTCTGATTTCTGCATGATCTTTCTTAGAAGGAAGAGGATGCTTCTCATATTGACAGCCAGCCAAGTGAATGCAAATGTGTTTTGAACTCTGACTTTCCCTGAATTATTTAGAACTGCAGCTGATACAGAGAAGAGCTGGATGAGACTCCCATTTGGCTTCACATATAAAATTCTCCAAAGAAATTAAAAGGCTGAGTTGAGCCATGACAAGAAACACAGTCCTGGCAAATACAATCCAGTTCTGCCTTAAACGTCATCATCAGTAATAGTAAAACTCATGTTTAATGAAAAGTAATATATTATCAAAACAATGTATGGGTTGAGTTCTGCACTCTATTGGCAAACCACTGTATTAGTTTCTCCACATCTACTTTAAAATTGGATCAGCCTATTTATTAAAAAAAAA